CCCTAAACCCCTCAAACCAAACCCTTACACCCGAAACCCTAAACCGCAGAGCTTCGGGTTTCAGCGCAGGCCTGGGGGCTTGGGGCTTTAGGGAGTTAGGGGGGATGTGGCTTTAGGGGGTTCGGGTTGGGGGCTTCAGGGTTTTGAGAGTTTGGGGTTTAGGGTGGGGGGTGGAGTCGTGAAGCAAACACAAGCCCTCAGGCGGGGGGTACCTTATTGGGGTCCTTCTGAAATCGGGATCCTCTTATTTTGGGTTTAGGATTTAGGGGTCCCTTGCTTTCGTAAACCCCCCCATATGGGTCTAAGCAAGGAGGATCCCACTCCAGCGATATTCGCTGCTTTTCGGCTGATTAGGGGTTTTTGTGTGGAATTGCAGAACACCCTACGAGCCCACCCCCCCCAGCAAAGGGTTCAGCGTGGCTTTGATCCAAAATCCCAAATCCCTCAAAAGATGACACCCAGGACCTAAACCCTGAACTCTACACCCCAAACCCTAATCGCTAAACGCCACACCCTGAACCCTAAAACCCTAAGCCCTGAACCCCAAGCCCTATGCAGACACAAGTGGCGATGGCTTCGTGCTGCAGGCGTTGCAAGAGGTGCCTAGCTCGATACACAGACACATTTAGGGCTGCGGGCTTAGGGTGGAGGCCTCAGGGCTGCGCTAAACCCTAGATTGTTTAGGGTTTAGGGTTTAGGATTTAGGGTTTAGGGTTAACCCTAAACTCCAAACCCTAAACCCTAGCCCTATACGCCCTAACCACTAAACCCCAGAACAAGTGGATCGGGGGTTCCGCTTTCTGGATCCCCTCCCAGGTCTGGGTCATGAGCCCAAAGTCCTCTCCGTTTGGGCGTTTCATGGACTCAGGTGTAGAGTTTGGAGCTTGGGCTTTAGGGTTTGGAGCGCTTTCAGTTACGCTAAACCCTAAACCCTGAAACCTAAAACCGAACCCTAAAATGCCTAAAGCGTAGACACTGCCTTATCGCGCTAGATTCGACCCGGTCACAAGCATCGGACCCCGGACCAAAATCTTACCTTGTGCCAAAACAGCTCCCGAAACCCCAAACCTGAGGCCCTCAAGCGTAAGCAGGCGCGACTCCCTAATGTAGGGGCCTTAAAAAAAGAACATGGCTTTGGGGGGTTGATTTTTGTATAAATGTATAGGGAACACAAGGGAGTACTATTTGCAATTTTTCCGATCCCTACACCTCCGCTTCCTTTAAAAGCCCTAAACACTTAACCCCTAAACCCCAAACCCTAAACCCTAAACCCCTAAAACCTAGCCCTTAAACCCCAAACCCCAAACCCCAAACCCCAAACCCTAAACCCTAAACCCTAAACCCTAGCCCTGCGCCCTTGCGATGAAGGCAGGCCGCGTGGTGTGCGGCGCAGGAAAAAGCTCCGACACCTGACCATCGGGTTTATGGGCTTCTTGCTTCTCCCAAAACCCTAAACACTAAACAAACCCTAAACCCTGGCCCTAAACCCTAAACCCTAGACCCTAAACCGTAAACCCTAAACCCGGGTAGTTCCCCGGCCCCCCAAATTCCGAAACGGCGCTTCGCCCCTGCACTTCCTGGTTCGGGGGGTCCTGAGCCGTTCAAAGAATGAACAGCCATCCTCCTCATCTACTAGGGTTTAGGGTTTAGGGAAGAGGTTCAATGAAGAATTCGGGTGTTCAGGGTTCCTGAGGGTAGTTACATGGTATGGGCCCTTTGGAAAGGGGGCCCCTTATATACCCCTTATATACCCTATGCAACCCAAGGGCCCAGACCGTTGAAGAAACTAAGGGACCTTGTTAAGGGCGCATATAACTGCCCTTGGAGGGTTCAGGGCTCCAGGGTTTCGAGCTGGGGGTTCTGAGTTTCGGGGTTCAGGGTTCAGGGTTTAGGGTTTGACCCCAACTGTTGAACTGTAGTACCTCTACATGTTTGGCCATAGCCTATCTTGTTGTTCTCCTGACGCTCGTAGGGCCAAAGCACAGTCAGCCTTGAGCATGTCTTCTAAGTATGTATAGTTCTACTGTAGGTGCTGTAGCCTTACCAGCCATGTAGCACAGGATCTTTTGCTGCGTGTAAAACCTCCGCATTGTGTGAGCCATGGTTGGGGTAGAGACTGGGGAATCTAAGAAGCCACTGGTTTCTGCTGCTCAGCCTGCTGGTTCACACCAGCAGGTTATGGCAGGGCAACAGCACCACCGGAGTGACTTCATCAGTCTCAGCGGGAGGCGCTGAGACTGATGGGCCACAAACTACGTTTGGGATTGGTGCGCCTTGTGGTTTGGAAGCTGGATCATTTGGGTCAGTTTTGGACGGTGGGGACGCAATCCGACATTCGCTGGCTACGGGAAGGGCGCGTGGGGATGCAGAGCACAACGCCCATTCGCCGAACAAGCAAGGTGGGGAACAAGATCCACCTGTTGCTGAGCCGAAAACTCCGGGCGGAAGCCTAGGACCCTGAGGCCTAGGCACACCGGATGCGAAGTCGTTTTTTCCAGAGTTTGGGAGTGGATGGCCCGAGACATAGCAAGAGTGTTGACGGCAACGCGTGATGATGAGGCGCCGAGTGTCAGTACACATCTGCTCTCGCCAAGGTTTGACCTGTGGCCTTTGGTTGGTACAGGGGTTAGTCCTAGTAAGGGTTGCCCGCTTCAAGATAGTTTAGGAGGGGTGCAAGCCGAAGTGCCGATTGCATCGCTTTTCGGGGGGGATGGCCTTCCAGAGCATGCCACTGTTGTGGCATCGAGTCGTGCCGACTCACCAAATGTGTGTAGTTGCAACGCCAGCCCGAAGGCCTGGTGCCATGCAACGTGCCCAGGCCCAAGGTCCCAATCCAGCGGCCATGCTGGCAGGACTCCCAGGTGCACAGCTGCAAGGTGCCCAGGTCCAAGCTCCCAATCCAGCAGCCATGCTGGCAGGACTCCCAGGTGCGAGGCCACTCCCCAGACCCCAGTTTTCGAGCCGAGAATGGGGGTCTGGGAAGAGGTCCAGAAGGGCCATCGTCAGGATGCTGGCCAGGTGTTGCCCAAGCTGGAGTTGGTGAAGGCGTGGTGTGATGCTAGCAGACGTCAGGAATCGCCTCAGACTCCAAACCCCATTCCTCAAATGCGCTCACTTCGCGTTCATGCTCAGGCACTGGCGTTGGTAGACTCAGGTGCCACGCATCCCCTGAGACAGGCTGGCGCTCAGGAGGAATGGGATACTGCGGTTGAGGTGGATGTGAGCTTGGGTGGCAACGTGCATGCGCTCGCGCGTCTCACATGCAAAGGCACTCTGCTCACACCGCCCGGAAGGGAAGGAACCCAAACAATCATACCCATGGGTGCAGTGATCAGACGCTTGGGGTTTAGGCTTAGTTGGGTGAGCGATGCCGACTGTGCATTTCACCACCCTGACGGGCAGGTCATTCCGCTTGTGATTCGCCGCGGCTGCCCCTGCATGTGTGAACACGTCGCGCTTGAGTTGATTGCCCAGTTGGAGGCCGATGTGTGGCATGAGTGTGCCAATGTAGACGGAACCTATCAGGTGGGCCTGTGCGGGAGCGGCAGTGAAGCAACGTCCAGGCTACCCCGAAATGTGGAGCCAATGAGCCGCAAGCTCAACCTGCACCCACGACATCAGCCAAGGTGTAACGCATCAAAGAGCGACAAGCCACATTCGACCAGTGTTTTTGTAGCCGCTTCAAGGTTGAGGCTGGGCTCGGGAAAGGGTTGTGGCAACATTCGGGCGGCGCGCAGCCCACATGATAGGCAGTCCACACCAGTGTGTTTCAAGCTGAACTCACAAGACAGCGATGACGAAGGCGATGCAGACCCTAATCGACGTGACAGTGCGCCTGGTGCGTACGACCTCAGTGACTGGACACACTGTTCCAACATGCCCGCGTTGTCCAGCAGTCAATTTCTGGACCGACCACGGTTTGTTCACAGACGTGCTCGGCTGACTAGACCGTGTGATGTCAACCTCGGCGTGCGTCGCAAATCGTTGTCGCTAGCATCGGACTTGGACGCTGTGTCCTAAGCCGAGCAGAATTTGGCATTTTGTCTTGCATGAGTTTGCCAGGCTTGTTGCTTGTTGAGCTTTTGTGCAGTTCGTTGAGCCCAGCAAGACAACTCCGCCCTGACGGGCAGGACTTGCTAAAGCAAGTCCGTGCCAGTTTGCTTTCTTCTGCAAGAGGTGCCTTGAGAGCCCTCGCACTCTGAGGCCAGCCGGCCAGCTGTAGTCCTTCCTTTTGGGGGAGTCTGTACCTCCTCCCGGAAGGGATAGACATGTACAGGTTTCTGTTTGTCGCTTCCTCCTAGCGAAGGAGCGAAGGAGGAGTGTTGAACCGTAGTACCTGCACATGTTTGGCCATAGCCTATCTTGTTGTTCTCCTGACGCTCGTAGGCCCCAAAGCAGTGTCAGCCTTGAGCATGTCTTTTAAGTATGCATAGTTCTACTGGAGGTGCTGTAGCCTTACCAGCCATGTAGCACAGGATCTTTTGCTGCGTGTAAAACCTCCGCATTGTGTGAGCCATGGTTGGGGTAGAGACTGGGGAATCTAAGAAGCCGCTGGTTTCTGCTGCTGGTTCATGCCAGCACCAACCCTTATCCAGTGGCCCGGGCCTTCTCCAAGCTCTTAGGTGCTTTCTTGGGAGATGCGCCCTCTGTCGCCCACATAGGAACCGGGGGCTGCGAGGCGATGTCAGGGGCCCCCCTCTTTTTCCTTAAGGCTTACTGTGGGGAATACCCCAAACCCTAAACCCCCTAAACCCCAAACCACGCACCCCCTGGTTGTGCATGAAGGAACCAGTTTCCGCCCAAAGCCTACAGCGAGGCCCTGTAAGACACCAAGACCTAAACCCCCTCAGTCCTTAACCCTAAGCCCTTAACCCTATATAGACCCTGTGCAAGGTCTACTTGGAGGTTCATGGTACTTACAAACCAATTATAACTGTACTTAAAACTGTACTTTGTACCATGAACCTCCAAGTAGTGTCCAAAGCTCAACATGCACGCTGTTACGCAACATGCGCGTTCTGGGTAAATTGGGCCTGTAACAACAAGAAAGGCGCCGCCGGCCCAGATTTCTGCACCCTACGCCTTTAAGTTCACTGACCCTAAACCCTAAACCCGAAACCCTAAACCCTAAACCCTAAACCCTGAACCCTAAACCCTAAATTTTGGCACCAAATCCGCAAGTTCACTCAGCTCAGGCACTGTCAGGCCCACAACGGCATCCACGGGTGCAGATGCTGCTTGCACGCGCATGTCGGTCCTGCTTTCGTGCTGGACAGTTACCCAACACCTTCAACTCCTTAAACCCTAAACCCTAAACCCCTAACCCTAAACCCTAAGTGGTACCTTCAACTCCTGAACCAAAATGACAGAGGACAGAAGAACCCCTTCGTGGTCTTGAGACACTTAGACTGAGGGTGCTAGGCGCGGCTGGCCGGTGGTGCTTTAGAGGTGTTTAGGAGGAGGGGTGAATCTTTCTGTATTGAGATTCCATACGCAGGTCATCTTCATAAACAGGGCATCTTCATTGCTCTTCGTTTTGTGAGCCGTTTTTAATTTTAGGAATGGTTTGACGCACGAAAAACGTCTAGCTAAGCGAGCAAAGAATGAGACCTTGTTCTCCTCCACCGGTCTGGGGGATTAAAGCTTAGCTATTCTCCAGGCCCCAGTCTTTTGTACTATACTCCCCTTGGAGAACCAGCATGAGAATTGCATTTTTCATCTTGCAGTTGGGAGCTATAAACACAAACGAACAACTACTGCCTAACCAAACTTTTTTTTTTTACTGCCCAGGCCTTTCTCCAACACGAATCCCACGGAGCATTTTTCGAGTCACCCCACCCTCCCCCCACAAAATCCTGTGGAGCATCCCAGGACCCCCCAGGAATCACTGCGTTTAGGGTTTAGGGTTTAGGGTTTCAGGTTTTGGGGTTTAGGGTTTAGGGATAGGGTTCCTCCTCTGTGCTTAGCTTTAAGGAAGGGAGGTGCTCCAAGCAAATGATGTTGTCCTTATTCGATGTCAGACTTTGGTGGTCTGAGCCTAAACCCTGCACACTTTCTATAAACCCTAATCCCTCAACCTAAAGCCAATAAACCCTAAAGCCAAAGCCTCCCACAGCCTCTTTATCTGTTACCCTGATACCTTAATGTAGCCCCTAGATACAACATATGTATATACATATGTGGATAAGATATTCTACCGTGTCTGGAACTTGGATTCGAATTGAACCGGCCCCTTTAAAACAGAAACCCTACCTAAAGAGACCACCAACCCATAGAACTCAGCCCTAAACCCTAAACCCTAAACCCTAAACGCTAAAAACTAAACCCTAAACCCTAAACCCTAAACCAGGCCCGAGGAGCATGTCGATCTCCAGGAAGACCTTCTTGGCTCCACGCGGCTCCTCGCCGCCTGGGCTTTGGAGTTTGGAGTTTGGGGTTTAGGGTTTGGGGTTTAGGGTTTAGGGTTTGGGGTGTAGGGTTTGAGGTTTAGGGTTGTAGGGTTTAGCGTTAAAGCCAAAACCCTACCCTAAACCCTAAACCCTACACCCTAAGCCCTAAGCCCTAAGCCCTAAACCCTAAACCCTAAACCCTAAACCCTAAACTCTAAACCCTAAACCCTAAACCCTCAAGACAACATAAATAGAAATTGTATGTGGTATCATTCTGAATCTTCCAAGATATTTGTCTAAACAGCTGACAAACAGAGTTTAAGTAAATTAATCCAAAGCGGGAGGCCGAGAGGCCAAATGTTCAATTTACTTAAACCTCTGGGGCCTTCCCGGGTCCCGGCAAACCAAAGCCCAAATCGCCTCCCAAAGCCAAAAATTGGCTTCCACTTCCAATAACTTCCCAAAGGCCAAAAATTGGCTTCCCAAAGCCGAAAATTGGCTCCAGCTCCCAATGCCCGAATTGGCTCCCAAAGCCCAAAATTGGCTGCCAAAGCCCAAAATCGGCTTCCAAAGCCAAAAATTGGCTGCCAAAGCCCAAATTGACTCCCAGAACCCATTGCCTTGCCAAAGCCCAGAATTGGCCTCTGGGAGAATTTTGGGCCCCGAAGCCAATTTTGGGCTTGGGGAGCCAATTTTGTGCTTTGGAGGCCAATTTTGGGCTTGGAGCCAATTTTGCGCTTTGGGGGGGTCAAGCCAATTTTGGGCTCCAGAAGCCAATTTCGGGCTTGTGGGGTTCTGGGAGCCAATTTTGGGTGTCAGTTTGGGCCCCATTTGGGCCAATTTGGGCTTTGGAGCCAATTTGGGCTTTGGGGCCAAATCTGGGCTCTGAAACCCAATTTTGGGCTCCGGAAGCCAATTTTGGGCTTGCGGAGCCAATTTTGGGCTTTGGAGCCAGTTTTTGGCTTTGGGGGCTAATTTTGGGCTCGGGAACAAATTTGGAAGATAATTTTGGGTTTTGGGAGGCGGCTCCTCAGCCCCCAAAGCCCAAAATTGGCTCCCAAAGCCGGAAGACAAAACTGCTCGCTAAGCCTTCCGGACCCAAAATTGGCCAAAATTGGCTCCAAAGCACAAAGTTGGTCCCCAAAGCCCAAAGGGCCCTCCCAGACCCCCCAGGCCCCTAAAAAACCCCACAACAACGTTTCAGAAGGCCCCAGCTCCGAACTCCGGGTGTAGAAGGCCCCAACAAGCTCCTGGAGGCCTCAAAGATGCCAAGAAGCCACAAAGCCCCAAGGCCCCAAATCAGGCCCCGGGCCTCCGAGGCTCGCCCCTGCCACCCAGCCCCCCGCCCTGCCCAAAAATGAAAATGTGGGTCCAAAAAAAACGTTTCGGTCAAAACGTTTCGCTCAAAACGTTATTGGGACCCAAGCCCTATACAATTTCTATAAACCCTAAACCCTAAACCCTAAACCCTAAAACCCTAACCCTAAACCCGAAGCCCTAAGCCCTAAACCCTCCACCCTCCCTAAAAAGCCACAAGGTCTTATTCCACCCCCCTCGTTTCTTGTTTCGTCTTTGTGTGTATTATTCACAAAATGGAGAATGGGGTGAGGGGAGGAGGGGGGAGGAGCGGGGGGGGGAGGAGCGGGGGGGCGGGGGGGGGGAGGAGGGGGAGAGCGGGGGAGGGGGGAGGGGAGGATTTGCTTGTCGAATATCAGAGGAGTAGAGAATTTTTCTAAATTCCACCCCCCTCGTTTCTGGCGTTTGTTTCTTGTATGCATTCTTCGAAAATCAGAGAAGTAGAGAGGTGACAGAGAATTACAGTGTATTTCAAATGACAACAAAGTCTTTTTTCTGACGTTGTCAAAAAGTGGGGGGTTGGGGGGGGGGGGGGGGGGGGGCCCTCCCCCCCCTCCCCCATTTGCTTTGTCGAATATCAGACAAGTGGAGAATTATTGCAAATTGCACCCCTCGTTTCTTTTTTCGTCTCATTCGAGTTTCAGAGGAGTAGAAAATCACTTTAAATCCCACCCCCTCGTTTCTTGTTTTGTCTCTGTGTTCATGGTTCGGAAAACAAAGAGGAGACCACTGAGCTACCAAGATGAGGGTGCCGCAGACCTCAAGAAAGGGTTGAGGGTTGAGGGATTTTGGGGTTTGGGGTTTGGGGTTTAGGGCCTTTAGGGTTTAGCGTTGAGGTTTTAGGGGGTGTTTAACCGTCGCAAAATTGACCCCTCACGTGCCTGAAGACGCCGACGCCGTGGAGGTCGATTCAACGTCTACCTCCACGAATGGCACGGAGCTCTGCCATCTGAGTGGCTCCTTGTGCATGAGGGGGTTCCCTAAAACGTATACGCCCCAAAACCATTACACCAAAAGAACCCCGCGCCGAAACACCGGGGTCTCTTCAAGCGTCAGATCTGACAACTCAGACATTTGCGTTTAGGGTTTAGGGTAAAGTGCCTTGTTAAGGGACCCCCTGAGACTCTGAAACCCTCTGTGGCAAAGCCCACCCCTGAACCCTAAACCCTAAACCCTCCTAAACCCCAAAACCTAAACCTCCAGTCCTCGAAGGGGTCGGCCAGGGACATCTCGGAGTTCGCGGCCAAGAGTCCAGGGGAGTCTGTAAAATCGCGAATGCCGACGAGATGGCAATGTCGCCTCGGGTTTAGGGTTTAGGGTTTAGAGGTAAGGGAAGCTACTACTTGCTTAAGAACCCCCAAGCAATAAAGACAAAAATGATCCCTATATTGCCCTTATAAGGAAGAGAATTTGGAGGTTCTTCGGCAAATAGTAGCAAGGCCGACCTACTCTCGTCTTCCTCACAGGAATTCTAGGGTACGACTATACTTTTTGGTGTACCAAGATATCGTTAGACTACTATTGCTATTCTATTGTTACGCTGTTTCTAATCTTCAAAACAAACCTCTCATCATTTGCTTATAGTTTATTCTACGATCATATTATCTCTATTTGCGGTCTTTGCCTTCCTGCTTGGATCCGAAGCATCTGGGGGTTTCCGAAATTAGGGTTTCGGGTTAAGGGGGTACCTTATTGGGGTCCTTGCTAGAAGGGAATCCTACTATTTGGGGGTCTATTTTAGGGGTCCCTGGGGTCCTTGTTATAAGGGAATTTTACTATTTGGGGGTGTATTTTAGGGGTCCCCTATTCCCGTAAACCCCCCATCTTCGGCTTTCCACGAACTTGGTCGGGTGGATCTTTGTGGTGGAAATGCAGTTGGTGCTTGAGAGGGGTTGTTCGACAGTTCCCGCCTCAAACCCCGATGGTGGCAAAGCTTTCAAAAGGTGGCGTGCTAAGGAGCTCAGCCAAAGTGCAGGCCAAACCTGAAACTTCCAGACTTGTACACAACTTGCGCCTCAAATCTCCCTAAACCCTAAACCCTAAACCCTAACCCCCAAACCTGAAACTCTGAACCCGAAACCCTAAACCCTAAACCCCAAACCCTAACCCTAAACCCTAAACTCCAACCTCTAACCCCTAAGCCCCAAACCCTAAACCCTATGCCAGGTCTGTGCATGGGCGCATCCTTCTTCGGTCGCTTCCCCTAGGCTTCAAGTTCCTCCCTTGCAGCAATAGCCCGAAACCCTAAACCCTAAACCTTAAACCCTGAACCCTGAACCCTAAACCCTACACCCCGGACCCTGAACTAAGCTCCTACCAACCCTTTTTCTAGGGGTAGATACCTGATCCCTTAGTCTGGTTCCTTAAACGAGGACCCCAAAAATACCCTATACGTATTAAGGGCTTATACATAAGAAATCTTTGAAGGAGGCAAAGAACCACATTACGGACCCATGTAACACCGCCCTTCGACTCTTAAAGCCCCGTTCGCCCTGTCAAGCCTAAAGCCACAAGGCTACGCCCTAAACCCTACACCTAAACCCTAAACCCTAAACCCTAAACCCAAACCCCTAAACCCTAAACCCTAAACCCTAGACCCTAAACCCCAAACCCAAAACCCTGCCCCACAACCCACGCCGAGGTACCCATCCATCTCCTTGTACTGCACCTTCGACTTTCACGGCTAAGGAAGAGACACAACCCTTTCCTTCGGGGGAAGTTGCTGGCAACGAGTTTCAGAACCAACGGATACCGCCTCATGAGCGCGAACGAAGTATCTCTGCGGATAGAATCCCTGCAGCCCCTCTGCGATTTGCTCGCCTGTGAGCAAGGAACGCGATCGCGCATGCCAAAAAACGATTGGAATAGATGCGATTCTGCAGACGGCCGGCGCAGGACGCGCCACAGACCCAAAAGAGCCCCAAAACCGCATGCTCAAGTAGTGCACCTTCAGCTCCGTGGGCATCCCTAAGACGATGAAAGGGTACGTATGACTGGGATGATGAGGTACGTTGGAGCTTGAAGCTTGCGATCGCTGAGGCCAGGATTTCTGGGCCCACACTCCTCCTGCCCAGAGCCCTATGTCCTTTTCCCCCAAGACCCTTAAATCCCTAAACCCCCCCCACACATCTGGAATTGACTGTTTTTCGACCATGGTCTAGAGTAGGGTTAAGAGTGGGATGTTGGGAGAGAGTTGGGGCTTTAGGACCCCTCAACCCCCAAAGCCACTAGCACAAAAAACCCTCAGAAGCCCTACCAGGATGCGCTCTGCGGCCCTATAACCCCTATAATCCCTATACAAGGGGCTTTTTAAGGGGTTATGGGGTGCAAATCGCCCATGCTGGCCCCTCAACCCCCCAAAACCTGGCTTCTTTGTTTGAGGCGCAGGGGAGGAGGGCGAAACCCAAAACCCCTTGAATCTCAAGCGGGATTTCAACGGGGGCGGGGGGGTGGGGGGGGGCTGCATGTGGGTTAGGGTTCAGGGAGTAAGGCTTCTGGAGTAGATCCGAAAACTCCGAATCCTCAACCCCAACCCTGATGAAAGCCTGGAAGAGCTCGATGCACAGCCTGCTGGAGATGCTATCCACGAGGCGGGTGTGGAAAGCCTCGCGGTGAGCCCTAAACCCTAAACCCTAAACCCTATGGTCAAAACAGGGCTTCGCGGAGGCAAGGCCCTCCGTCATCGATGTGCATGTCTAGAGTTATTACCAGAGAATTCACCATAGCACGTCATATTGTGCTAACACTAAATCCCTGGACCCTAAACCCTAAACCCTAAACCCTAAACCCTAACCCTAAACCGTAAACCCTAACCCCTAACCCCTAACCCCTAACCCCTAACCCCTAACCCCTAACCCCTAACCCCTTACTAACCCCTAAACCCTAAACCCTAAACCCTAAACCCTGGACCTGGGCAGGCTCGGGGTCGTCGTCGGAAAAGCGCCGGAGATTTTCCTCCGCGCGCAGCACCTCGGGAGGCAAGGGCTCAGACGAGGGACCCGGCCTGCAAAGGTAAGGGAACACAGGGGACCTGTTAGGGTTTAGGGTTTAGGGTTTCGGGTTTAGGGTTTAGGGTCTATCTGGAATGGGCATTTTGGGTCGTTCATAGTGTATGAAGGTCTGGGCAGAGATCTGCAGAGCGAATAGGCTAGGGGATATGGGTACTGCCCAACAAAGGAGTACTTTTGACATACTTCAGAATACGTACCGCAATCCTGGATCTAGGAACGCTAAACCCTAGAACCCAATTCTCGGACACCCCCATATCGTAGCTTCTGAAAGGTCCCCGTGTAGCGTGATGCACAGGCCATCTTCCAGCCAATCTTTCAATCCGGAAAGGCTGAGTCTTTAGGCTGTCGGGATTGGGATTGAGACTTCGTGCGTAAATTTCAGGGGGTCAGGGTTTGGGGCTTGATTACGGGCATTTGGGTCACCTTTGCAGGTCTACCTCTTCTAGGACCCAAGGCCCAAACCCTTTCAGAGAATCTGGCGCCGCTGATGGCTGCAAAACATCTCGCACCTGCCGCGATCCTGGAAACCCTTCAAACACTCTAAGCCCCATAAGCTCTAAGCCGCTTAAGCCCGAAGTACCAAACCCAAAAACTCCAAAACCCATAACGCCTCAAGCCCAAAATCCCGAACCTTAAGGCCCTAAACCCGAAACCATATAAACCCTGTTTACTTTCAGGGTTTTAAAGGATTAAGGGTTTTAGGGCTTTTAGGGCTTTAGGGATTTTAGGGTTTTAAGGCGTTAGGGATGTTAGGGTTTCAGGGCGTAAAGTTTGGGGGTTTTAGGTTTTCAGGGTGGTAAGGACCACTTTGCAACCAAGATATTCAGCTCGTTTGAGCTATGTTTCTTAGTACACCTCATCATCGCTCCATGTTGTGGTAACCTAGAGTAAGTTCCTTATGTCTACCCTAAACCCTAAACCCTAAACCCCGGTACGGAAGCTAACCCCTACAGGGGAAATTAGGCTTGCGGCTTCCCTAGGAAGTGTTTGTACCTTCATGCGCAGCCCCGAAGGGCCCTGCACCCTATAGGTTTAGGGGTTTGCTGTACTGAACTAGGAACCTGTGGAAAAAATTGAAGCTTTAGCTGTTTCTTGGGAACTATAGTGCCCAAAGTTTAAAACCATTCCAAAATTGGTGCCCCCAAACAGGGAACCCTAAACTCTAAAGCCTAAACCCTAAACCCCAAATATCCCTGAGTTTAGGGGATGAAGCGGGCCTCCATTGGAGGCATGAACTCCGTGAGCTTCTTCCCTTCCAGGTTACCTCGGCTTTGGGTTTGGAGGTTTAGGGTTTAGGGTTTAGGGTTTAGGGTTTAGGGTTTAGGGTTTAGGGTTTAGGGTTTAGAAGCCAAGGGAGAGAGGGAGCTCGTGTTGTTTTCCATGGGGTACTTACGGCTTGAAGAGCTTTGGAGGAGGACGCGCAAAAAAAACAAAAAACTAAGTAGATCCGGCGTTTCTCAAAACCCCTCCGCAGCTGCCTTTCTGTTGTTAAACACTCTTCAATACCCCTCCGCAGCTTTTTGTTCTTGTTTCTCTTTGAATTGTATTTACAAGCACTCTGAGCCAAAAGCCGTGGTCCAGCTGTTTCTGCCCAGGCCCGGACGCCTTTCTGAGCGATGCAAGAACTGCTTTCTGGATGCCTATGCTTCGTCCTTTCGCCCAAAACCCCAAAATCCAAACACCCCCTAAACCCCAAAACCCCAAAACCCCTACGCCCGGGACCCTGAGCCCTAAACGCCCTAAACCCTAATCCCTAATCCCTAAACCCTAAACCCTAAACCCGAAACCCTAAACCCTAAACCCTAAACCCTAAACCCGCGGGGAAATCCCCTGAAGTGCCAGGGAAGGCGCATCGGCCCTTCAAGAGCATCGCAGCCAGCTCCTGTATCACGGGACTCTCGGGCTGCTTCGGGTTGGGGGTTTTTGTGGTTTAGGGGTTTAGGGGTTTGGGGTTTTTGGGGGTTTGGGGTTTATGGGTTTAGGGTTTAGGGGCTTAGGGTTTAGGGGTTTGGGGTTTAGGGTTTGGGGTTTAGGGTTTAGGGGTTTAGGGTTTGGGGTTTGGGGTTTGGGGGTTTGGGGTTTAGGGTTTGGGGTTTGGGGTTTAGGGTTTAGGGTTTAGGGCTTCGGACCATGCATCTGCGAAGGTAAGCCCTATCAATAGCTGCTGCGTATCAGAAAGGGGTTTAGTCGGGTTTAGGGGGTCCATGCGGGAGGTGTGAGGGTGCTAGGGTTCAAGGTCTGTGGGCGCTGGGGTTGAGGGTTTGAGGCTTAGGGCCTCGGAGTTTGAAGGAAGCGCTCCAAGCATTGTAGGTTTAGGGTTCAGGGTTCAGGGCTCAGAGGTATAGGGGTTCAGGTTTAGGGCTTAGGGCTGAACCTCCAAACCACGAACCTTAACACCAGACTCACTCCGGACAGTGCTTGGTGAGGCAGAGGTCGCCATCCAGTTCCACCACAGCATCACAGGTGAGCCTCTTCGGATTCCAGGGTTAGGGGTTTAGGGTTTAGGGCTTAGGTTTATAGGGTTTAGGGTTTAGGTTTATAGGGTTTAGGGCTTAGGGAGTTTGGGGGCTGCAGGTAGGGTGTAGGGGTTTGTGCTTCAGGGCTTAAGGCCCCTTGGTACACGTTTTTCTGGAATGCTTATGGTGTCTTACAGCAAACCCTAAACCCTAAACCCTCAAGCCCACGTGCCCAGACAGCACATCGGCTTCTAGAACAACTTCCCTGCCTGAGCAAAGACTGCGCTGCACCTGAGAAAGGGTGTGAGGGTGCCAGACGTCCCAGCCCTAAACGTTTAGGATTAGGGTTTCGGGTAGGTTTCGGGTCCAGGGTTTAGGGCCTCAGTCCCAAGGATAATTTCTGAGACCTGGAGATCAGGAGACAAATTTGTAGGCCCTGAACCTTAGACATTCTTCACCTATCCCTCATATTATACATGCCACCCAGCCGCGCATCCCTCCCCCTGAAAATCTTTCGGAACTCCCTGCAGGTTAGGGCTTAGAGTAAGGGTTTAGGGTTAACCCCCCCCCCCCCCTCCCCAGCCTAAATTGGGGGTGCGGGAAGGTACAAATTGCCATGTTTGGGACCGCTCGGACGAATCTCAGAAGAAACCCAAGATTGCCCTTGTATCAAGATACCATACCTTAGTAGGAGTGTCTGATATTGGAGGCTTGGCATTGAGAAGGGCACCCCGGATTTCGGGCTTAAGCCTCGGCTGGCATGTCATCGCGCGCTGGAGGGTTTAGTGTTAGTCGTCGTGATGAAAGGAGTGTAAAGCTGCGTTAATTGACAAGCTGCTGGAGTAGTGAATGCTTTGACTTGAGAAGCTGAACCCTACCCGCCCCCCCCCCCCCCCCCAATAACACACACGCACACACTCACACTCAAACTCAAGCACAGACACACACTTTGGCTTGGCGAGAACTGACTTGAAAAGCAATTGACCGAACAAATGAAAACACCGGAAGAGGAAAGACAAGAGAGGATAGGGAGGACGTGTCCATTGCACGAACTTCGATCACCTTAGTCCATGGGAATCTGTGACTGATTCCTGGAAACCAGCAGGTACGTCCAGCTGGCCAAGCTGGATGCCCTGGTCCTTCTGTGTGGAGCTTCGTTGGTGGTAGCCACACAAGGACCTCTACCATCCCTTGCAATCCTCGAGACTGACACACACACACACACACCTACTAGTTGCGTTAAAAAAAACCCAAGAAACAAAAAACTATCGCGATTGTTCTCCTTTTTTTGGCGGGCACGCGCACGCGCACGCGCACGCGCGCACAATCGCAAACTCTACAGCCGAAGCCCTTCACAGAGTCGAGTTGAATGTCGGCGTGCCCTGAACCCCGACCCTCAACCTGGGCCAGGAACCCTAATCGGAAAGGAGGGTGCTCTTTTCGCTTCAAGTGACATTCACACAAGGGGCAAGGGGTCCTGAACCCCAAGTCTGGGCCCAATACAATCCGCTGAAGCCTTAGACCCTAAACCCTAAACCCTAAACCCTAAACCCTAAACCCTAAACCCTAAACCCTAAACCCTAAACCCTAAACCCTAAACCCTAAACCCTAAACCCTAAACCCTAAACCCCAAGCTGGCTACTTACTCTTAGCAGAATCTCAAGGGAGGCATCCGACAGTTCTGGCGCCAAGCCGCTGAGCTGAGTGTTCGCGTTCTTGCGGTGAAGGTTCATCTCTGCCTTGGATTTGGCACTTCTAGGCTTCTCTAGTCGTGTTAAGTTTTATTGTTCTCACAAAAAACGTCTCTTTGGAGCCCTAATAACCATAAACCCGGAGACGAATAAACAAGCAAGAGAACAGACTCCCGAAACTCAGAAACGTTCTAAGGAAGTGGTGTTTAGTGTGCAAGGGCCGGGCCAGTCCACATTCCTAAAGCCAAGAAGGAACCTGCCGTTTGTCAGTGAGATCCCTTTTCCCTTAACATCTACCCGCAGAGCATGGGATGTTAGCTACGGTTGTGCCACTGAACGGGTTCCCTTAACAGACTGGTAACATGGCGCCCTGTATTCCTTTCAAGAGGTCTGTAACAGGGGTATGAGGGTTGAACCCTAAACCCTAAGCCCTAAACCCTACAACCCTGATAGCTGGGGTTCAGACAGGTGCTCTCCGCTTGGCCTCTGGGTTTATTGAAGGTGCGCGAAAGCCTCCGAAACCGCCAGCCCTAAACCCTATAAGGTGCCAACATTGTGAGCAATGCTACTCTCATCACGCAAAGAAGTATGATGGTTATGCTGATGACAACAATTCTACCTATTAGACGTTAATATGAGTACCATTCTTGATTGGGATTTTTTCTTGAGCAGTGATGAAATCAGTGATGATAACAATGTTGCTAAGATCAACCATACGAATGTGAACAAAGAACAGACATGATTGCTGACTGGCACTGGTTACGAAATTGCAAAATCAATGCTCGGCATCCAAAAAAAGCACTTGCAGACGAAGTGCTAAGCGTTTGATATAAGCGTTGCAACGGATGTTTAGTACTTAAAATGTTGATGTTGCGATTTTTTAGATCGTATGATTCTTAGTATTAGTACCAGTATCCGCAATAGTCGTACTATCTGCATTCGTATTTGCACTGCGTAGTATTCGCATGAGTATGCATGTTGGTACAGCTTCCTCGTTTTCATGTGAGTGATCTTACTACTCTTGTCCCTGTTCTTGATGTGTTCTAGACTCTAAACCCTAAACCCTAAACCCTAAATTAGACCCAAAGGTAACCTAGGAAGAATCGGGGCGCTCTTCCTTGGTTTGAAGTACAAGGGAACCCGCTCTCTAACAAAACGGGAATGAGGTCCTACTCTGAGTCCTCGGTTATAATACTTTGCTGTTGGGTGACTATATAAGGAGCCCAGACCCAAAAAACGGGCAAAAGGGCACCATTGGGCTACCAAGTTGATGGTTTTGCTTGCTGGTATGACTCTTTTGTCGAGGTTGCTCGGCGAGATAGCAGTCCGTGGAGCGCCATGGTGCAAACCAGAACCAGCGTGCAAATCAGGCACTCAGTGATGATCACGACGTCCCTTGGGAGGACGGATGTTTGAGAGTAAAGGCCTAGGGTTTGGGGTGTAGGGTTTAGAAAATAACAACAGTGTTTCCGCACAGGTCGCGTAGTTGTATGGGAAAGTATGTGCCTTTCTTGCCTAAGCCCTAGCCCCAAACCCTAAACCCCCAAGCCTCAAACCCTAAACCCCTAAACCCCTCTACCCTAAACCCCTAAACCCTAAACCCCAAACCCTAAACCCCAAACCCCAAACCCTAAGCCCTAAACCCTAAACCCTAAACCCGGAACCCAGCTTTGACGCAACAGATCAAGGCTCGGCTTCAGAGTCGGAGGAAAATCTTCCTGGGCCGTGCTTGGGTAGGGTTTAGGGTTTAGGGTTTAGGGTTTAGGGTTTAGGGTTTAGGGTTTAGGGTTTAGGGTTTAGGGTTTAGGGTTTAGGGTTTAGGGTTTAGGGATTAGGGATTAGGGTTTAGGGATTAGGGTTTAGGGTTTAGGGATTAGGGTTTAGGGTTTCGAGTTTAGGGTTTAGAGTTTAGGGTTTAGGGATTAGGGATTAGGGTTGAGGGTTTAGGGTTCAGGGTATCGGGTTGCAAGTGGTCACGAACGTGCACGTCGGAGTTGTAGAGGTTGTAGGGTCTTCACTTGCGCTTCTTGTGCCCACCCATTGCGGAGATTGGACAAGACTTGCCCCCTGGTCCGATCTTTGCGCTTTTTGGATTTTCCGATCGGATTTCTTGTCAAGTGCAGCGACACAGTCGACATCTTCAAGCTCCACTTCAGCCACTAGGTTAACCGCATTGCTCCACCTTTTCTTGTTTCTTTTGAATGTCTCTGTCACGTGCTGCCGACAGGTAGTTCCGAACCCTTCGAACCCTTGGACGTGCCTGCCGCTTTCGAAAGAGAGAACGCGAGAGAGAGAGAGCGAGAGAGAGAGAGAGAGAGAGAGGAGAGAGAGAGAGTGAGAGCGTGAGTGAGTGAGTGAGCGAGAGGGAGAGAGACAGAGAGGAAGTGAGAGAGGACGAGGAAGATGAACAGAGAGAGAGAGAGAGAGAGAGTGTGAGTGAGTGAGTGAGTCAGTGAGAGTGAGAGAGACAGAGAGGCACAGAGGAAGCGAGAGAGGACGAGAGAGAGGAGAGAGAGGACGAGAGAGTGGGGAAGAGAGAGGGGAGGAGCTGTGCAGGGGTGTGGTGTTTTGTCTTGGCTGGGTGGCCGGGAGTTTGGCCTGGGATGTGAAGTTCTCGGTTTATGATGCCCCCAGGAGGCTCCACGAAGTCCTGAAACCCGAAAAATCCGTTGCGGGGTCTGAGAATTCAATCCAGGTCCCCCAGAAGCCCCCCACACTCTAAACCCCCTAAACCCCTAAACCCCAAACCATAAATGGAGTTCAGAAGGAACCCCACGGTCGCCGCTGGGGGTCCGAAGCCTACAGTTTCAGGTTTAGGGTTGAGGGGAACCTTTCCCCTCAAGCCCTGAATCAGGATCTCCTTGTTTTAGTGCACTTGTGGGGCTTTTGGGGCTTTGAGGGTTTAGGGTTTAGTTTAGGGCCACGCGTCGGATTCAGTGAGCACCCGGGTTGTCATCATCGCCAGGTACAGGGAGTTGAAGAGCAGAGCCCAGATCAGGCGGGTGCACAGGATCGCGCCTGGATTGATGTTCATCGTTTCTGATCCGTTTCTGAATTGCAGAAATCCTAAGCCCTCTGTGCAGGGTGGAGGGGAAGGGGGGCATGTTTGTCAGAACGCGGTTTAGTAGGTAGAGAGCGTCCTCAGGCTTTGTCGGTTTTTGTTGCCCTGAAGGCAGTATACCCGGATTGCCCAATATCCCCCTGTGTTTCGGTAGGAGAGAAGTAGTTTTCCAGAGTGCAGAGCTAAGGTTCAAGGTTTTCGGGATCCTGAATGTAACTTTCGGACTAATCGGTGACTAAGGGCCCACCTGGGACCTCGAGGGCTCCCTGAAATTGCTGCACTTAGACTTTGCTATTTGTGGGGTTTTCCGGGGATTTTTGGGGTTCACGGTCTAGGGCTATTGGAATTTGGAGCCGCTAAAACAGGGCGCACGAGTTTAGAGAAATGGCTCCTATGACCTGCATAAGCTCCACAGCCCGAAGAGCGAAGAACTTACAGCGGCTGCGGCAGTCTTTGGCGGCTAAACTTAGTAGGCCAATAACCATGTTTGCAACAAGGGTACCCCTTTGTAATTTGTTACTTTACAAAGGAACCCAGAAGGAAAAAAAGGGAAAAAGGCACAACTAGGCTATCCAAATAAACATCACCAACATGCAGCTTGCCTAAGCCCTGAACCCAAACTCTATACTCCCCTTAGAACCTTAATAAAAATAATCTTCTTAATATCCTCTTGGGTTTTACATGAAGAAAAATACAAAATAATTCCCAGGGGGGATATAGAACTTTTTGCAGCGGAGAAATCTTCCCAACCACTTCGCCCGGAGCGCTTTGGAACCAAAAGTCTGGAATAGCGGCTGAGGGGCCGGGCACGCGAAAGAACACCACCAGGAAGAAGTTGAAGGTAAAGGCCTGCGGGGTGTAGGGTCTGGGGTGACAGAGTGCAGGGTCTAGGGACGGAAGACCTAGAATATGGGCATCTCTAGTAACCCTAAACCCTATATAAACCCTAAACCCTAAACCCTAAACCCTACACCCTAAACCCTTCTCGGATCCTCCCAAAAGGAGCCTGCTGCCCTCTCGCACGCCCCAAGACACCAAACACTTTGAAGCAAATCAAGCAAGAAGGGCCCGCTTCTCCTAGTCTAGAACAGTACCACCCCTCATTTGCTGGGAGCTTTTCGGGTTGGGCTAGGCGGCCGCAGAGACATAGCGGTGTAGGAATTCTGAGGGCTCGGTTATCTTACTAGCTACTGGTTCCTAACTGGCACTAGGGAATTAAACTAGGGAACTAGGCTTCTTATCAGAGCCCCTAAAAGGGTCAGGTAATTCATTGGTGCGAACCAGTCATCGATAAGTGCGCCATACCAAGCTACGCTGTGAGAGCGACGAAGGGCTCTGCTTGTGGGTGCGTCTGGGCATCTTGGGTTGCAGGGATTCGGGCTTAACCCGAAACCCTGTAGGCCTGTAGGCCCTTAACTCTAAGCCCTAAACCCTAAACCCTGCAGAGGGGTTTCGGACGGCTCAGGGGCTTCCAGCTCTCAGTTTGTGGGCGCTCGGGCTTCTTGCGTTTTGGCAAATGGGGTTTAGGGTTTAGGGTTTAGCCCTCCTAAACCCTGTAGGCCCCCTTGTAAATCCGACAGAGGGAGTCTCCCGGGCCTCGGGAAAGTAGGGTTTAGGGTTTAGGGTTATGGCATGGCCTGGTTTGGCGTGGTGTGCCATGGCGATAGGAAAGAAACGCCAAAAAGCATGATCACTCCATACCTGGACTGCAGCAGGCTTAGTGGCACACCCATCAACTGTGCATACAGGACATCCAGGGCAGCAACACATATATGCATCCTAGATTGATATTTGATAGTTATATCAGGAAATTTCGCACCTCGACTGTTCTGAGCTTGGCTAGGCTAGGTCTGAAGACCCTCTGCATTTGCTTTTTTCGGCATTGGATCTGAACCCCGATAGGGGGAAAAGGAAGTAAGGGAGCTATAGTAAGGAGCATGTGGCTGAGAAGCGAACTGTAAGCGTGAACTCCGTAAGGGGGCTGAGGGAACCGCTGAGGTGTTGAGTTGAAGGTTGGAGGGGTTCGTCAACTAGATCTTGCTGGAACTCCGGGGTACGTTCTGCCACTGTTTGGGGGCTTGGGCTGGGGGCGCCGGGGTGCCTGTTTTGGTGCAGAAAACAAGCTAATACAGAAGCACGAGGAACGCACAGCAGAAGCGGCTTGATGAGCTTTCTTTGGGAGGAAGGGTCGGGGGGGGGGGGGGGATCTTCTGTTGACCCCAAACGCGAAAGCCTAAACTCTAAGACAGCTCCAGGACTTGGGTTGCCACCAGCCAAGGATCCAAAACGGGAGCGTTGCAGGCTGCACAACGCAGGGAAACAGGAGCCCGAACGTAAACACCGCGAGCAGCCCAACGTTTGTCCTGGCGTGGATACAGGCTAGCTTGTCCAGTCTAGCGGGGTTGAAGACTGACCTTGGGGAATATGAGCATACGTGTTTGAAACAAAATGTAGTGCAGTGAGGGTGAAAGGTTGAAGGGGTTGAAACCTTGGGCTTCGGGGAAATCGAAACCCTAGGCTTACAAACCCCTGGTGCCTGCGTCTGGTGACCGACTGTCTGGCACAAACAGGTTCGTGCAAATTTTGCTGGCGCCGTACAAGCGCCGCGCTAGCGCCAGCAACCCCTGGCTTTCCAGAACACGCGACAGGACCATGTTTGTTTTCAGCGCGTCAAAACCATGATTCCCAATCGTTTCGGGTTGAAATGGGAGGCTTGGGAACAGTGGTAGCTAACCCCAAAACGGGCCAGCTCGCGCTTCGCAGATCATTCTCATCATTCTCAGCCTTGCTGAAGCCACGCTGCGGTCTGTGCTTGAGCAAATCCCGCTCGTCAGGTTTGGGTACGAAACAAGGTAGGTGATCTGGGCGCCATGGTTCTGTTGCCGCGGTTCTTCCCATAGGTGGCCGTCCATGGCACAACCCTAGCTTGGCGATCTTGGGGTCGAATGCCTGCATGCATACCTTTGTCTCGGCCCAGGCATACCAACTACCAACACTTCTAAGATTCATGCTAGAGCGCAGCTGGCGCTATGCCAGCGCCACCAGGGGGAGCTGTACTTGAGGGCCACCTCATAACGAAGACATAAAGTTGACATAGATCATGGTTCGTGTGCCCTTCTATTGAAAAAGCAACATGCTTTTTGAGAACTCGGCATATAAGCCCTCAACCATCAAGACGCTTTCGCAACCCGCAGTCCATGTACCGGCTGAGGTCATCCAGCGATCGAGGTTGCGAAGCTCATTGTGCTGCATCGTGGCGATGACAACAAGCATGCAGGTGCCAAAGAGGTAAATGCATGTCCGAGCTATGCTCACGCGGGTCCTCGGCTGTGCCCAAGACTGAAGTATCCCTGCACATGGGTACAAAGGGATTCGCGTAGGTGAGCGGTTCAAGGTTAGGGGAACACTAGACTCGAGGGAGGGATGCTCCACTTGAGGTTGGATCTTCGGAGTGTCAGGGAGTTGAAGAGTCACGTGCGTTTTCTGGCGCGCCCATCGGACAGACAGACAGACAGACAGACAGACAGACAGACAGACAGACAGCCGCACACACGCAGAGACAGAGTCCCGTCATAATATGAGTATATATATATATATACTCAACCAATGGGCGCATTTTTCAAAGCACTTCTGCGGAGATCCCGGAGCTCCCCTTAAGAAGTGGTTGTGGGCCGCGCCGAGCGACTGCAAGGTATCCGATGCAATCAGCTGCTCCTGGATCGACCGTTTCCGGGCTCTCCACGAAGCCTTTCTCAATCACTTTAAGGGGCAGCTAAAGGGTGCGCAAAAGGTCTATTAAGTTTAGGGCTTAGGGTTTAAGGCGCTTTAAGGGGCAGGTGGGTTTGGGTTTGGGGCCTTTTTGTTTTTGGAGGTGTAGGGGTTTTAGGGCCAAATGAGGGGCTTTTGGATGTTTCGGTGGCCGGGGCCTTCGCTGCATCTCGCTACTGTAGTGTGAGTGACGGCTTCAGCATTAGGGCTGCTTCAAGGGCAAACCCTAAACCCTAAACCTAAACCCCAGGGGGTTAGTATAGAGGGGGGGTAGAAGAGAAACCCATGAGATCTACTCGAAATCTGGCCCCTCTATCCCCTTGGAATCTTTACAAGGGTCCCCAAACCCAAGTGGGGTCCAAGGTCGAGTGATAAACTCGAACGCCCCGCCCCTTAAGCCCTATAAGCCCTGAGAACCCCAAATCCCAGGCCGTCAGCCCTGAGCCCTTAAACCCTAACCCCTAAACCCTAAACCCTGAACCCTAAACCCTAAACCCTAAACCCTAAACCCTAACCCCTAAACTAAACCCTAAAAACCCTAGACCTTACCGAATACCCTCCTGAGGCCCTAAACGCTGAAGGACGAACCCGGGCTGGCCTCGGGCCGTTTTTACGCTCCACAAGTTTCCTAGACCCAGGAGGAACCCAGGAATACAATGGGTGCCCTTCTTGGTTTTCGGGGGATTAAACGGGAACCCCAACCCCAAAAAAGAGAAATAAGGGCCCACTCTGGGTCCTAGTTTCGCAGAAGAAAGAGGACTCTTTTGAGTAGACCCGCGCCTCCCCCCAAACGCCAAACTTGGGCGGGGGGAGAGGGGGGAGGGGGGCAAATAAGGGAAATGACTCTTTTGTTGACGGGGTTCCTGAATTCGAGTATCTTGACTTATCTTGAGGTCTCTCGGGTTTGGATCTTCGGGTTAAGGGTTTATGGACTGTGAGGAATTACGGTTTAGGGTTTAGGGATTCTTGGCAGATGCTTGAGGGCTAAGCTCGCCGGGGAGCTGCGACGCGGCGTGGGCACGACTTCCAGCGCCCCAGGCAAGATCGGATGTCCTTGATGCCATGTTTCAGGGTTTAGGGTTGAGTGTTGACCCTAACCCTAAACCCTAAACCCTAAACCCTAAACCCTAAACCCTAAACCCTAAACCCTAAACCTTGAGGGCTCCGGATTCCGAAATCAGAAGCCCCATGCCCGCATCAACCCCACAGAGACGCATTTCCATTCCCAAGGTGGAACCCTGAGCCAGGACCCAAACAGTTTAGGGTCGGTTTAGGGGTTGAGGTTTGAGAATCCCGAAGCAGTACATTGCTTTGGTCAGTCACTTACGTCTAAACGATCACCAACCCAACTGAAGAAGCAGATGCTCCACACCTAAAATCCTGAATTTTAAGCCCGAAACCCTAAACCCCGTTCAAACCGGAACTTTAACCACCCGAAACCCTAAGCCCGCACTATAGGGGCCTTACTACTTAAAATAGGGTTTTGGGGGTTCTTGTAGTAAAGTTATAAAAGGCACCTTAAGGGACTAAAATATTCGTAACTATTCCGACCCCTATAGAGGTTTCCCCGAAAGGCTGTCCTGACAGCGTGCTGTGGCGAGGTAGAGCAGCCGTGCCAGAAAAATGAACCTTCGTTCTTTTTTTCCATCGTCTACAAGTTGCTTAAGAACCTTTAACCTTTAAGGGAGACATGAAATATGGATGAACTGAGTTAGGGCAACGTTTTGGGTGCCCTGAGCGATAAAGAATATGTGGCAGCAGAGACCTCACAGTAGACCATCATATGAGTCTGACTGTTCTCCCCCACGACGGTAGACGGTGACTTGGGTTTGCGGTGGAAGGGGCGAGGTATTGAAACCCCCCGAAACCCTGAAACCCCCGAAACCCTTAAACCCCTACAACACTCCGAGGTTTGAGTCATGGGGCTGCATGGCGAACGAGGCCATGAAGAATAAGGACGTTTGCAGCGGAGTCTCCATTACGAGATTTTGGCAAGGGCTTGCCTGGCCTTGACCCCCCTACTTCGAAACCCGAAGGCTCCCTAAACGCAAAGGCCCCCTTAACCCTAAAGCCTCCTGGGGGGGGTTACACAGGTTTGTGGAGTCTTTCAACCCACCCCCGAAATGTGGCAAGGCTGTGTGCTCAGACCGCACCATCAATCAGGGTTTGGGGTTTGGGGTTTGGGGTTTGGGGTTTGGGGTTTGGGGTTTGGGGTTTGGGGTTTGGGGTTTGGGGCTCGGCCCTAAAACCTACAACCAGAAATTGCTTCGTGAAGCCGGCAATGCCACGGATTCCCGGTCAAGTTTGGACTTCTTTCGGCCAGGCAACTCGGCACAATTCAGTGAGTTAGGAGATTGGGGGCTGTTTTAGGCCCTTTAAGGGCATGGTAGGGCCTAAACCCTACCCTAAACCCTAAACCCTAAACCCATGATTTAAAGGGGGGTTCTTAGCGCCCTCCGGTGGATTGGGCTCCAGGGCCTGGGGCTGCACAGCTTGCTGCCCCTGACAGTCGTGGCCGTCTGGTCTCAGCAACGTGCACATTCAAAACCCGCATGGTCGGTTTAGGGTTTAGGGTTTAGGGTTTAGGGTTCAGGGTTTAGGGTTTAGGGTTTAGGGTTCAGGGTTCAGGGTTTAGGGTTTAGGGTTTAGGGTCTAGGGGTTCTCTGACTTACTTTTGGGGGGTGCCCTGCATGTATGAAGCCGCGGGGGGACCCCAAACCGCCTAAAATCCCTAAGCCCTGAATGAGACCCTACTTGGGAGCAGACCCTGGAAAAAAAGTATATACTTCTGAGGTATAAGCAGCCAGAAAGGGTACCCAGAACCCAAAAAAGTAGCAAAGTATTAACGTATTAAAGTATTAACGGTTATGATTAACTTTTTAGCGCATTAACGTATCAAAGTATTAAAGTATTAAAGCATTATTGAAGTATTCAAGTATTAAAGTATTGAAGTATTAAAGTAGTAAAGTATTAAAGTATTAAAGTATTAAAGTATTAAAGTATTAAAGTATTAAAGTATTAAAGTATTAAAGTATTAAAGTATTAAACTCCAAAAAACCCAGGAGAGAACGGACAAGCACACCCGGCTCGTAAGTCCTAGTATAACTCTCCCTGCTGACTGGGTTCTGACTGGGAATTATGTACCTGACTTCTTCTTATGTATTCCCCCTCATTATGATGGCATGTCTTTCTTCCACGCCGCTTCGACAGAGCTTTGCCGAATAAGGCAAGGTCGAGAAGAAAGAACTACTCTCAAAATGGGAACTGGCCAGCAAGCTTCAAATTCCAATCCACCTCTTACAACCTAAACCCTAAGCCCCAAAACCAAAACCCTAAACCCTATAAACCCTAAACCCAGGAGCGGCAGAAAAGGTGAGGAGCCCTGGTGGGAACCTCACCGGGGGGGGGGGGGGGGGGGGGGGGGGGGGGGGGCGGAGGGGTTGAGCCTACCAAAATAGCCCGCCCTGAATGCACCAGTAACCATATTCTGATACAGGGTACCCTTTTTGGGGCTGGCTACTTCTAAAAGGGAACCCCAACATAGGCAAAAGGGTACCACTCAGCTACCAAGCCGAAGCCCTGAACCCTCAACCCTAAACTACCAAGTGACTTAAGAACCCCCAAAAAAACAAAAAGTGCTCAAAGTAGAGGGATCTTCATTTTTTTTTTTTTTGGGGGGGGGGGGGGTTCTTAAGCAAGTAGTAGTAAAGCCATGAAGTGTAGTCCCGCTTTTGCAAGGGGTCCTAGGCTTCGAGGAGGAGGGCGCCTTGCAATAGGGTCCCAGCAAACAATTCATGGCCTTCAACCCTAAACCCTAAACCCTAAACCCTAGAACCCTAAACCCTTAACCTTGAACCCCAGACCCGACTTCGGTCATTTGGAGCCCCGGCTTCTGCAAGGCAGAAACGCCGGGCGCAGCCCCCAACGGAACACGCCGGCGAGAATGGGCTGTCTACTGGGGTGTTTCGGTATACACATAAGTGCCCTGTGTTGGGTTGGCCATTTCAAGCCCCCATGCAGGAGCAACCGTTCTTCCTCTGCGAAAATCACCAGATCCCCTCCTCTCCTCTCTAAGCCGAGGGAATGGGAGGGTTTGGGGTTTCGGGTTTAGGGATTAGAGATTAGGGTTTGGGGCTTAGGGCCC